TAAATACTATTTGTAGAATTTTTAAGATTTTAGACCGGTTAGGGTTATATAGGGGGTGGCATTAACAAAAATGGGGGGTGACAATAACAATTCCCTAATTTTATTACTTTATTTTCTTTACAATAAAGGTTTTGGTTAGTTGCATAGTGGTCTTTGATATTTTCTGAAATTCGCTTAACTGATTTAAGGCACCTTCGTTACTGTTAAGATACATATAAAACTACATTAAGCTGCCCAATATTCAACTTTATAAGTATTATCGGGTGAGATTTTTTTGGAGTAGGTAAATCAGCAAAATTGAACAAATCGTGTTGTACTTTTATTATTATTTTTTATTTATATGAAGCGAATATGAGCGAAATATGAAGCGAAATATGAAGCGAGATATGAAATGAATTAATAAAGAAACGAATTAGCCTTGAAAATAACGATAATTACTTATTATATAGTATAACGATAGTTCATTTAATTAATCGATGATATCATTAATGATTGTTTGGATCGTTTGGTTTGATTTCCGGACAACCACATGATTATCCGGAGCACAACATGGTACACATTTTCGATTTGCAACCAAAAGTTTATTACAGTCGAATCAGAAACTTATCGAATCGGCCAAACAATCATTCGGTCAATTTTTTATCTGATGTCCTAGAGTTTATAAAAACAGCTGTAATAACCGGATGGATTTTATAAAATTTATATAAAAAAATATTTAAAAGTTTCATGTCATAAAAACCAAGAAATTAATTTGTATGGGCATACTAAAAGTACAATCAAAAATAGAATACGTAAAGCATTATATATTTGCATGCATAATTTTGATTACAGGTTCAAAATTTTAAATTGTTTTAATAAAAAGAATTTTTTTACATCTTCGGTCAAGAGGTTCTATCTAAAAAAAATATAAAAGTTCAAATAACAACAGAAATAAACAGCCAATCAAAACAAATTTGACTTAAGCACAAATATTATGCGTCAAAAATATTGAAAATAAACATTATTTTAAAAGAAATCCTAATTTATGCTATTATATTTAGGATCTAATTCCAAGGAATTCAATTGTTGAACAATTTGCATCATTAAAGGACGATTATTCGGTTCATCATCCCAACATTTCGAATAAAGATTAATATACTGTGTGGGTGTTCCTGTGACTGGTTCTTCGCGTGAACCTTGAATAATTCTTAGTACCTGATTAAGGGAATCTACTTGGTTGAATGGAGCGCGTCCATCGCTGGAAATCTCCCACAAAACTACGCCAGTACTATATACATCAGATTTTTTATCATACAAATATTTCTGATCTTTAAGTATCTGAGGATCAACAAGCATGACGGAGGTTCTATTTATGCACGAGCGTTACACAAGATTTTGTATAGAAGAGATTATAGTATGTTACGAAGGTCATATAGTAACACATCCAATGAAACGTTAGTTTTTTGCCAAACTTCGTCAGTTAGTCTATTAGTTGGCTTT